TCTAATACAACTTTTGCATAAAATTATCTGGAGAGATAATATTTCAGCTTTTCAAAATTACATGGTATTTCCTATGTCCCGTGTTCCGATGTACCACACGGTATATATGTAGTTTATGCCAATAATTGTGTCATTTGACAGCGTATATCATTTCAGGTCATACGTATTAAAACTTGTCATATTATTTTTTAATTAATAAGTTAAAAGCCTGTTAAAAGTGAACCAAAATAAAATGCTAATACTGTACAAGTATAAAAGCACTGCGTTCGAAAGACCAAATTTGTCTCCGTTGATTCTAAACCCAGATTACGATAGATATTTTTTTCTATTGTTTTGTTTCAGTAGCAGTATTCTTAAATGTTTGCCAAAATGATGATAATAGCATTTTTTTTCTCTAATACACTGTATATGTTTGTATTTTATCTGCAATATATTTTGTAACGTTTTTAGTTCGTTCAGGCCTGATAATTTGTTTGAGGCGCTTGGCGTAGTTCTAACGTTCTCAAGTCGACAATCCTGTGCTGCTCTGTGGGCATTTATTTTCAAGATTTCGGTCTCCGCGCTTAACTTCACTTTTTGTCTTCGCTCACCTTCAGAGCCCTGCTTAGAGAAATTGCAATTATTTAAGTCTTGCTGTATAATTTGATTCAGCTGCTATTTCGAAGCTACAGGTAAAGATGAGTTATTATCTTTTTTAGATTCGATATTATTATTGAATATTTTTAAGGTAGAGTTTTGGATTGGCCCACCTCAACTCGTATTTGGTGTTTGCTGACACGTTGGTTTTATTTTGTCCTCCAGAATGTTAAATGGAAGAAAGGACAGTTTCTTTGTTTATTATTAAGCCCTCGGCAGTATTTCGAGGTAGGTTTATTGTGTTTATTACACCTTGGTAGGTTTTAAACACGGGTTTCATGTTTTTAGGGTCCAAGGTATGGGCAGGTGTCCCATATATATGTATTGAGTCCAAGGTTATGGTCCAAGTTACGGACATTGTCCAAGGTACGGATAGTGTCCCCATATTGCCACAGTATGGATGTAGCGTAAGCCCCATGCTGCTTCGTTCCCATTTCTAAGCCGAGTCAGTAGTTACGGCTGAATTGATTCATGGTGTCCTCATTCTGGCCTCTTTTGTTGTATTGGCCAACAGGATCGCCGAGAGACAGTACAGAGATATGAGGCCACCTCACGCTGCTACTCTTTGAAGCAGGATTGCCTCAAGAACAGCTAAGTGTGGATTTAGGTTCCGGTTTTCAGTCGATTTTCAGTCTTAACATAATAACGTACATTTTAAATAATATCGTACAGACTATGTTTAGTGGTTAGATCTCGGGTTAGATTATTAAGAACATTTATGTCGATTTAGTAGTTACAATATGATTTAGATCTTAGGTTTCATTACATTACGTCTTGTAATAGTATTACTTTCTATAGATATTATTATTGCGCTATATTAACAGATGAATAACCAGACATAGATTCTATAATCTACGGGTTACAACATATCAGATTTAACACCGCATAAAATTTAACAAATTAAATAAAGTAATGCTACCTTTCATATATTTTCTATAACTTTACACGCATTGTATTTTTCCATAGTCTTTTCATAGAACATATTTAATATTATTTACATATTTAGCTTTACTCGACATATAACCACTATAATAATTATTAAAATTGTACAATGCTATTTACCATCAGGATACATCATGAATGAATATAGTCACTAGTTTTAAGTAATAAACAACTGTGTTTTCTTTCTCTGTTCATGCCTGGCGCCCAATATTTGTATTTTCGATTTATTATTGTTAGTTTAAACATAGTTAACATTTTTTCTTCAAAGGTTAACTACCCATAAAATATATCTTCTAATATCGAAAAAACTTCGCGTCTATATTGAATACGACAAAATATATTTCCTTTTCCATACGACGCCCGTATATGATAACCATAAACAAAACGTATAAGAGAGCGCGCGTAACGGCATCTTTTATCGTTTTAGCACAATGCCATAAACCCTTTATTACGTCAAACTGTTCCATAAAACGGGAAATAAAACGTTAGTTCCCATTACGGTGACATATTAGGAAATGTAAAGTTTAACATTCAGGGCCTCGCAGGTGTAAACACATAATATTTTTCACATTTAGCGTTATACGGCGTTTTAAATTGGGACATTGAGCGCAGGAAACTTGATCGCGTAAATTTAAAATAATAGCTGGAAAACGTTTATTATACAAAAATTATTATTAATAAACTATACGAGTTATTTTTATACGTCTGTAGTATAAAATTTAATTTATTAAAATATTTGTTTTGTTTTTGGCCTACCAAAATGTGTAACGAATTGGTTTTCCTAAGTGTTTAGTTATTTTCCTAATTGGTTTTAAGAGTAATTAGAGAACCCTGTGCTAACGGCCATATTGCCAACAATTTTCTATCTTATCTATCATGCCGATCAATGTCGCTTTCATCAAAACGAAAGCAAAAAACAAAAAAAAATTGTATCACTGTTAGACAACAATTTTTACAACTTTTATTAACTATAAATCGGAATATTGCAATTTTCTTTTTTTGTAAAATTAATTTATTAAAAAATAATTTTGTTAAACAATATTTGTTTTGCGGTCCTCGTTGCTCTTAGTCTTGCAGATCTAACACTAGTCTGGCTCTTGGTCTTGGTGTTCAAGATCAACACGAAAATGACCAAATCAAGACCAATCTCGCCCATAACTAAATAATTTTAGAGTGTTTAAAATAATGGTAATTTAATAAACAAAAAAAACAAAAGGCCTGTATCGGTAAAGTTAGAAAGAGAAATAAAGTAGAAATAATTGCTACTGGATAAAAAGATCCTATATCGAGCATCCTACGATTTTTGTATATTTTTTTATTGTTACAGATAATATAAATATAAATAATAAAGATAATCAACCCTGTTAAAGGTTTTTTCTTTTTAGTTCTCTTGTAAGTAAAAATATACAAAGTAGACATTTTTCAAAGCTAATTCTAATAATAAAGCACCAAAAAATATTTACAAGCTTCTAGATTACTAGTAACTACAAGAGCTCTACATAGTAATGTAGTGCTAAAATATTAAACGATATAGCATCCTGACGATACTAAAGAAAAAAGGTATTAAACATATAAGTGGCTATCAGATCCACATACATTATGCATACTTAATATAACAATTTTGAATTTCTTTCAAATAAATTTCAGAATGTATTAAATATAATTCACACACTGCACATTTAATTACAAAAAATAGTCCTAGTATAGTTTGCAATTAAATAGAGTCACGTTTCAATGTTAATGTACTGTATCTTTTTATAAAGCCTTTGAGCAAAAATTACTATCGATATTAATTCATTCCGTGTAAAAAACTTTTTTCACTAAAAACAGATAAATAATTTTAGAGTGTTTAAAATAATGGTAATTTAATAAACAAAAAAAACAAAAGGCCTGTATCGGTAAAGTTAGAAAGAGAAATAAAGTAGAAATAATTGCTACTGGATAAAAAGATCCTATATCGAGCATCCTACGATTTTTGTATATTTTTTTATTGTTACAGATAATATAAATATAAATAATAAAGATAATCAACCCTGTTAAAGGTTTTTTCTTTTTAGTTCTCTTGTAAGTAAAAATATACAAAGTAGACATTTTTCAAAGCTAATTCTAATAATAAAGCACCAAAAAATATTTACAAGCTTCTAGATTACTAGTAACTACAAGAGCTCTACATAGTAATGTAGTGCTAAAATATTAAACGATATAGCATCCTGACGATACTAAAGAAAAAAGGTATTAAACATATAAGTGGCTATCAGATCCACATACATTATGCATACTTAATATAACAATTTTGAATTTCTTTCAAATAAATTTCAGAATGTATTAAATATAATTCACACACTGCACATTTAATTACAAAAAATAGTCCTAGTATAGTTTGCAATTAAATAGAGTCACGTTTCAATGTTAATGTACTGTATCTTTTTATAAAGCCTTTGAGCAAAAATTACTATCGATATTAATTCATTCCGTGTAAAAAACTTTTTTCACTAAAAACAGAATGCATACATAAGTTAACATAGAACTTTTAATTACAAAACTTCTCAAAGGGTTGTAACAATTTATAATTTTTATTGGCTGCTCTTATATCTGGCTTCTTTATTAAAAAAAATAACGGCAGTAAACGATAAAGTTTTCGTTCGAAAACAAGTTAAAATACAGTTTTAATTACAAAATTTAAAATTAAATCCAACAATTTAAAAATAAAAATATTTCGTATACATATAACATACATTATATATATTTTTCCTTGACATCTAATTTAATATTCACAAAATTAAAACCAATAACACACATTTTTGTTTGTTGGATAAAAAAAACTAGCTACAAATAAGTAACAATAAGCATAATACACCTCAATTAAATAATACTATGCGCCTTACAAACATAACCTAATATTTTAAATATGTAAACTATATACCTAGTTTATTTAAAAAATATGTACCGTCTGGTGCATCGGAAGACGGGACAGGAAATTCCATGTAAATTTTGAAAAGGTAAAATATCTCCCCAGATGATTTAATGCAAAAATTGTATTAGACTTTTTTGAAGAAGCGTTAGAAGTTGTACTTTCGTTTAGAATTTCGTTTTATTTGAAATGGGCATTCAAATGTTATTTGCCAAAATCTACCTTGAAATTATCAAAAAATTTATAATACGGCCCAGAGAAAGCTACAATTAAAATACCAGCGGAAATATGATATAGATGGATATTTTCTTTTATTAACTTTGACTTGGTGGAACTTTGACTAGCACTGGTGGAAGGCAGCAGTTCCATCAAAATCGGGTTATGGCGTAATAACGGTATAGCACCGAACACCAGAAGGCGACAGGCAACAGTTTGGCGGACTCGGCTTCTGCACTGCGGTACAGAAAAGGAACGGAACCCTTACTGTACAAATAACTTCCAAAACATCCTAATGGCAGACGAAAACAAAAACACGGCCCTCAGTCCGGGGCACCTCTTAAGTGAGGAGAGGGTGCGAAGAATCCCCCCGTCGTCGACTGTTAGAAACTATAGAAGTGACCAAAAAGTAAAAATAAAAGTATACAATTCTAAAATACGTATTGCGACCTGGAATGTGCGCAGTCTGTACATGGCCGGTAAACTGGCAAATGTCGAGACAGAGATGCGCAGAATGCAAATTGATATATTGGGGATGAGTGAAGTAAGATGGCCTGGATCAGGTAAACAAGCAACTAATAACGGCGTCATTTACTATTCAGGAGGGACAGACACGTTTCATCAATACGGAACTGCCATACTTGTAAGCAAGGACATAGATAGGTCGGTTATGGAGTTCATACCCTTTAATGATCGAGTTATGCTATTGAAGTTACAAACTACACATCGAACACTGAACATAATACAAGTATATGCCCCAACAAACGACAAAAGTGACGCAGAGGTTGAAGATTTCTACTCAACATTAGAGGAGGCGATGAAACTCACAAAGAAGGGTGAAATAAATATGGTCATGGGAGATTTCAACGCGAAAATCGGTTCCGGAAGAGAGAATGATGTCGTAGGAGAGTACGGCCTAGGCACACGAAATGCGAGAGGTGACAAACTTATCCAGTTCTGTATAGAATCGAATTTATTTATTGCTAACACATTCTTCAAACAACATCCTAGAAGACTATACACCTGGAAATCTCCTGCTGATAAAAAAGGCCGTATCATAAGGAATCAGATCGATTTTATACTTGTTGGACAAGAACTGAAGAAATACGTGCAATCAGTAAAAACATATCCTGGCACAGACGTTAATAGCGACCACAATCCCGTCGTTATGGATTTCCGAATGAGAAGATTCAAAAAGATCGCTAAGACGCAACCAACTCCTAGAATCAACACTAGAAAACTGCGGATACCGGAAGTACACACTCAAGTGAGTTCCAGGATCGAATGTGAAATGACAAAAATCCAAAATGAAAAACAACTGGATATAATGGAAACCTGGAATAGGATAAAAACCTCCATAACTCTTATTCAGGAAAATGACATTGGCCACCTTGAAACTAATGTGAAAAAAGAATGGATGACTCCTGAAATCCTAGAACTCATGAATGAAAGGAGAACCCATAAGGCAAATCCAGCATTATATGCTGAACTAAACAAAAGGATTAGAAGAAAATGCAGAGATGCAAAGGAACAGTGAATGAGTGAAATCGAAAATCTTCAAGAAAAATACGACACATTCAATTTACACAAGAAGGTGAAAGAAATGGTAAACTGTAACAAGAAACGTTCTACAGCTATCTTACGGGACCAAAATAATGACATCATCTTGGGAATAGAGAATAAACTACAACGATGGAAAAAATACGCAGAAGAACTATTTAATGATAGCAGACCGAACACTCCACAGAAAGCGGATGAAAACATGAACGAAAAAGGACCTGAAATTACCAAAGACGAAGTAATTCACGCAATAAGATCCCAAAAAGACGGAAAAACAACTGGCCCAGACAATATTCATGCCGAAGTTATAAAACTGATGGCTGAACAGGACGGAAGGGGGTTGCAACTGCTGGTATTCATATTCAATAAAATCTACCGTACAGGGACTATCCCAACGGATTGGCTACGCTCGACATTTATTACCCTTCCAAAGAAAACCCACGCTTCGAACTGCGATGAATACCGCATGATAAGTCTGATGTCCCATGTCCTCAAAATATTTCTCAGAATAATTCACACCAGAATTTATAAAAGATGCGAATACCAACTAGACGAAACTCAATTTGGATTTCGCAGTGGCCTAGGTACTCGTGAGGCGTTATTCGGATTAAACGTTATCACTCAGCGTTGCAGAGACATGAATGTCAATGTAATCGCTTGTTTTATAGATTATAGAAAAGCCTTTGACTGCGTTAACCATCAAAAACTTATAGAAGTCCTCAAAACAACCGGAATAGATAGAGAAGAAATTCGATTGATTACAAATCTCTACTGGCAGCAAAACGCAGTGGTTAAAATTGAAGGAACATCGTCAGAAGAAATCACGATTAAACGAGGTGTAAGACAGGGCTGTGTGCTGTCACCGCTCTTATTTAATATATATTCAGAGGCTATCTTCAAAGAAGCTCTAGAAGGAATCGAATGTGGAATTAAGATTAACGGGAAAGTGATCAATAATATCAGGTATGCCGACGATACAGTTGTGCTGGCCGAGAATGAACAAGATTTGCAGAGGCTAATGAATGAATTAGTTCGGCATAGTGAAAACTGCGGTCTCCTCATAAATACCACAAAAACGAAGGTTCTTGCATTCACCAAAACACCTGTGCAGATTCACCTGGATATCAACGGTGACCCAGTAGAGCAAGTGTCTTCATACAAGTATTTGGGGTGTATTGTAAATGATCAATGCGACCCGAAGAAAGAAATTAGAAGCCGCATAGAACAGGCTAGAAAAACATTTATAAATATGAGACAATTTTTCACAAGGTCAGATTTGAGTTTGGAGCTACGGGTACGCATGGTCAGATGCTACATTTTTTCAGTTCTCCTGTACGGGTGTGAGAGTTGGACTCTTGACATATCGTTAGAAAAAAAACTAGATGCCTTCGAAATGTATATTTACCGCCGTATATTAAGAATATCATGGGTCCAAAGAGTTTCAAATGTGGAGGTTCTTAATCGAATGAGAAAACAGAAAGAACTCATGCTTACCATCAAAGAAAGAAAAACACGCTACATAGGCCACATAATGAGGGGTAAAAAGTATGAACTTCTCAGATTAATAATTGAAGGCAAAGTCCAGGGCAAAAGATCTATCGGCAGACGCCAGAATTCCTGGCTAAAGGACATTCGTAGATGGTTTGGTTGCTCATCAATCGACATATTTCGTATGGCTGTATCTAGAATGACGTTAGCTATTTGGATCGCCAACCTTCGAAAGGAGACGGCGTCGTAAGAAGAAGAACTTTGACTTTTATTGATTGACTTTCAATATACAACCATGGGCCCAATTAAAAAGAGAGTATCTAAATATGTGAGGGAAGCTACACCATAATTGGAAATGGTTGAATAACCTGAAAATGATGATGACGATTTTCTTTTATCTATGAATATGATTTTGTCATTGTCAAATTTGATGTCGATTTTTTTTTGTTTACAAGAATTCATATAGTTTGGAAAGGACGTTTTTTTTCTGCATTGGAACGAATCAAAAGAATTAGTTGAACTGAGAATAATATTCGCGGAGTATGACTTGATTACTATTCATTACTCGATTACTTGCAGGTCTCGCTCACACAACATACATCCACAATAATTTAACAAATAAACTAAAGGAACTAAAGGACTTTATTAAACTATTCTAATTAATAAAAGGTTTACATAATCCCCCATTCACAGCCAAACAATACCCCAAATGATTGTAAAACTCGCGCCTCATAATACAAAGCTGTTAAGGGGAGAATCTTTAGCATTCCACAGAGATGTCGTTTTCAGTTCATCTAAATTTCTGTATTTAATATGCCCATAAACGTTTTGAGTGTTCTTCACATGAAGAAGTCGTTCGGCAAAAGATCATGTGGTCTTTTCCTACTGTAACCCCAATAGAGAGGAGTCAATGTTTTTTTTTCTTCAACATGAGGAATATTCAAGTTATTGTTGTTTCCTTCCTGTTCAATTATTTTTCTCTTCACATTTCCATGTGTTTAATACCGTGCCTTTAGTTTCAGACCTTTCCTAGTTTGTTATAACTGCTGACTTATTCGATATAAGCTTTCCGGAGACTGAGCTGTAAACAAATCTAACACGGCAGGAATACTATTTCCAGCAAAATGCCGTTTAACCATCATAACTTTTTCAGAATTTGCGAAAATCTTAATTATTTTATAAAAATTGCTCTATTTGGAAGCTTCAAGCTACCAACTAGAATTTTGTCGATGTCACGTTTTGTGACATCGAATTCGACAATGACACAATCACATTTTTACTGGTATTTTAATTGTAGCTTTCTCTGGGCCGTATTATAAATTTTACTAATTTAAAGGTAATTTTTGCAAATAACTTTTAAAAGACTATTCCATATAACTCTAACGCCTCTTCAAAAAAGTCTAATACAACTTTTGCATAAAATTATCTGGGGAGATAATATTTGACTTTTTCAAAATTTACTTGGGATTTCCTATGTCCCGAGTTCCGATGCACCACACAGTATACACATATACGTATCTTTTTAATATAGATACGGCGCAGGTCCTATACACTGAAAATTAATTAATCTAAAAAATGAATGGAGTACATATTAGTCGTCATAAAATGAATAACTAGGTCTTTTCTTTAAAATATTAACACTTTTAAAATGTAAGGCATTTAAATACAAACAAAATAAGTCAAAAATAAACTACTACTTACTAATTCTTAAGATAACAAAAAAAGATCTAGACTAACTTATCGGCCTAGTTTTCACATTAAAAAATGGATACAGCGCCGGCCCTATAGCCGGAAAATTCATTAATCTTACGACCTCGCCGTCTCGGCCCAGTAACTCGGCTCCAGGCGTGTACGTAATTTCTCTCCAAGGAGTCCTAAAATCTGGCAAGACATCTTCCAGACCGTTCTCCAGAATTACGAACATTCCAGCTAGCGCAATTACGTGTAATGTAACTAAAATTAATTTTTAAAATTATGTATAATGGGGTTAGTTGAGTTATATGTGTTGAGAAAGTTTCTTTGTAGTTTACAGGCTGCAGTTGTAGTTTGAACTGAGAAAAAGTGATAAGTTTCATTTTGTGAGGGATTTTTCAAAACTAAATTAATGTCTAAATATTATATTTGTTTAAATAATGACGCAATTTGGCAAATACAACTTTTTGTAGATAATTCTTTATAGATTAAAACATATCACTCATGTAATATCTGATTTAGAGCCAATCTTCAGAAACTTGGAATAACTGTTAAAGATACTGAGATGAACCGCCTATTTAAAAAAACATATTTCTTTAAATTCAAAACATTAATTTTTAAGACACTCTTTAATGGATTCCATTTATGCTGTGAATGATTTCTAGTTTAAAATTAAATCTAAATCCAATCGTTTACAATATTTGCGAACTTGTTAAAAATTTTTAAATATAAAAAATGTTCATTTTTTAATTCTCTATCTAACAACGGAATAGTATATGTACATGGTGCTCCATTTAAAAATAAATATCCCAATCCACTCACACTTTTTTGAGCCACCCTGTAGAACTTAAAATATTTTCCTGAAATACATCTTAACACATACTTTAGGTTGGCACGTATACAAAATTCCTAAGTTTTTTATTATATGAGCTACAGATGCCCGACGCACTGTTACCGGGCCCGTATAAAGTAATTAGGAACGATTTTAAACCGTGGCAACCTTATAACATCATGAACAGAATAAAAAATAGCTTTAATTTGACATATAAATGATCAAAAAAAATTATGAACGTAATGTCATCTTCAAGGGCAGTTATTATTATTATTAATTAAACATAGTTGCGGCAACTTTTTGATTGGCACCCTATTAAAGGTGTATTCCCCTATTCATAGATATCCGTAAAAATTAGGTTATGATTAAAAATATGGTGAGCGTATTAATCATGCAGCTGGATCCTGTAATATTAGTTTTTTGTATTATGTTAATAATTTCTACATGGCTGTATCAATTTAATATCCTGATACTGATAGATCTCCACCTGTTCTAACTTTGTTTCACCTATATTAGTAGTTTCAATTTTTCCTTGGCTATCTGCACTGCACTGGTTTTGGATTTATTAAGTTTCAAATCCTTCTTCTTTAGAACATTATTCCATATATTCTAACAGTCTGCTAATCTATCTAGAAACGACCTTACTCAATGCTTTTGAAGCCTGCTTACTTACTTTTATGACTTATTAAGCCGGTCGATAAGGTTTCCCATTTCCCATATCGTTTCGGATTCATTTAATAGACTTAAATACTGTGTAGATCTCCGCACGTCGTCATCGACATCGGGGTTGCCAACTTTCTCAACACTCACATGAAATTTTATGAGCTCCGGTTATGAGCCGAACGTTTTCTAAACCCTCGATCGAACGGAAAGTTTGTATGTAATTTATACTTTTTTTCTTCATGACTCTCTTTTTATGAAATGTATGTACTTAGTGAACTTATTGCAGCCATTTGAAATTTAAC